GAGATCTTATCATTTATATTTTATGTTTTTTATTTTATATATTATCTCTAATCTTCATATTATTCTAAGAAAATGGTATGATGATGACTGTTTGAAGATGAAGAAACTAAAGCTTCGGTCAAGGTCCTCTAACTATTAAATGATGATGCCAAGATTTGATTCCAGGTTTCTGTAATTCTGTAGCCTCTTTCTTCAGAAAAACAAAAAATAAACAAAAACCTTTTTTTAGTTTATTTTGAGAGAGAAAGCGAGAGAGAACATGGGAGGGACAGAGAGAGAGAGGGAGAGAGAATCCCAAGCTGGCTCCACACTGTCAGAGCAGAGACCTGTGCAGGGCTGGAATTCAACAAACCATGTGATCATGACCTGAGCCAAAATTGAGCATCGGATTCTTAACTGAGCCACCCAGGCACCCCTCTGTAGCCTCTTTGTATTACATCCCACTGCAATCTTGATAGGTTCCATGTTTATTTCCTATTCTGTAAAATGTCTCTAAGTATCTCTATGGGCATCTTGTGGTTTCATCCTCATTTGGCAGCCTGGTTCTAGGAAGGCCTGCCTGTTGCCCTGGCTGGGACCAGGCTGGTGGCAGCCTTACATACTCTCCCCAAATAGGTTATGCTGTAGATGTCAGTTCAGATTAAGAAGGCAGTGAATACAAGTTTGCTGTCAGGTCACATCCTATTACTTAGTTGTCTGCTAATTCTCATTCTGGGAATGCAATCCATCAGAGATTTGAGACTAAGCAATTTTTCAGGAACAAGGCAAACCCTCTGACCTCAAGATGGGATAGCCATTGCCAAGAACTTTTCCATTTGTGATTCTCCTTTGCTGCTGTCATTAGGCCAGAAGTTATTTCCCATTTCAAAGGCTCTGCTAAAAATATGGTGCACAGGCTACTGAATAGTCTATAGGGAATGCCTATCATATGTGTTTGGAGAAGGGGTGTGTATGTGTGTGTGAAACCTTATCAGCAATTTTGAACTAACTTTGTGCACTGGGATCTTTCTCCCTCCTGATCCTGATGTGGCCAAGAGCTTCACAACCTGTATTATGCAAAACTGGCCTCTGTGAGCATCTCTGCTCAGTTTTTCTTTAGTATAACTTGTATTCCCTTGCACCACACCAACACTGTTAGGCAGTGGGTACTGAACATTCTCTGACTTCTGGTTGATACATTGCAAGTTACATTCAGGATGGTGGGATCATTATGGAAAACTTGCTTTTATATGGAATAGAGAAATTAGGTTTTTTCTTTACCAGAATCTGAATGAAGATGTGCAAGGCCCTAGCTCCTGGTTTATGGTTAGAACTATCTGGGGGATAAGAACTACCAAAAGCCTATTGTTGCCAGAAATAACTTTGTATTGTAAAGTTAGTAAGCACTTACTGACTATTCCTTATGTGCAAGACATTGGACAGTTATTTCACGTCATCCTTATATCAGCTTTATAAGGTTATAGTATAGGTAGGATAAGTGAGGCTCAGAGATTAAGTGATGTAGCTAAGTGTACATAGCTTGCTAGTGGTTGATCTGGGACCAGAATGTCTCTCGAGCCTTAAAGCCTATGTCAGGTGCTTTTTCTCTGGAGACTCCAGGGGAGGGGTTTAAGTTCGCCCCCAAATCCCCAGTTTATTCTTCTCTCACCTGAGGCAAAGCATTTCAAGGCAAATAAGAGGGTATAGAATCTTTGAAACTGAGGCCATTTTGTGTCTTCCACTTAAACCAGAAGATGTTCCTTCGTGGTGAAGAATTATTCATGCACATAGGCTCTTTGGGTTATTTTGAAATAGGTAAGTACTTCCTGAGCCGTGAAGACAGTTACTCTCAAGTCCCAGGAGCTGTCCAGGTAGCTGTATACCCGCTGGGATGATAGTGTTCCTATCAGTTGTATGTTACTTTTAGGAATCAAAATGTTTACTCCATGTCCTTTTAGGAAGGTGAGTTCAAATTCTGTTTTATAGAGAGAAATGGGCTGAGGCTCAAAAAGGTTAGGTAAATTGTCTGAGATCCATAGTAAGAGTGGGATTCTCAGTTCAGTTTTCTTTCTTTTTTAATGTTTTATTTATTTCTGAGAGAGAGAGAGACAGCATGAGCAGGGGAGAGTTAGAGAGAGAGGGAGATACAGAATCTGAAACAGGCTCCAGGCTGTGAGCTAGCCATCAGCACAGAGCCCAGCACGGGCTTTGAACCCACAAACCATGAGATCATGACCTGAGCCGAAGTTGGAGGCTTAACCAACTGAGCCACCCAGGTGCTCCAATCAGTTCTTTTTCTATCTGGTCCCTTGCCAGCACCCAGGCTCCTGTCTACTGAGGGCCATACATGAGGGTGTAAGGACTCCTTAGAGAACATGTGGCTTGTCAGTGCTTTTCTGACTTTGAACCTGCCTGGAGCTGAGATGATGGACATGGTTCTAGGAAGCCCACAAGCCCAGCAGCTGATGAAAGAAGGTGGGCTTGCACTTGGGAAATAGACTGTTACCTGATGGACTGGGGAGGGACCTCAGCCTAGGAGGTACCTTTGGAGTGGCCAGGAAGCCAGAGACTGAGGCTGCAAATTGTAAAGCCTAAGGTCTTTAGACACAAGCACTCTGGGAGATTGTCTTCTGCCTCATTGCTGCCCTCTGCCACATCCCAGGCCAGTGTGAGGCCCAAATGGGACATGTTCCTAAAGTCTGAAGCTCCAGAAAGCAAAGTCGCAGAATAGGAAGTAGCCCTCATGTTCCAAAGCCCCAAATGGGCAGGAGTCCAGACTTGAACTTAGAATATCTTCTTGTCTTGGAAATCTAAGAGAGGTGATGAGGGCAGGAAATGGCAGAAGTTGGTGAACTGAAGGGCATCTTGCCCCTGGTGAAAAAGAAAGAAAAGAAGTAAAGTCTGGACAAGAGGAGAGTTGAGATCATGCACTGAGTTCAGCCAGGGCTTTGGTTTTCTTCCAAGGAGCCGATAGTTCAAAGGCCTTCTCTGTTTCGCCTTCCTTTAAGAAATAGAACTGAGTTCTTCTGCCAAAAAGCCAACTTTGTTGGGAATGAAAAATATCTGTTTCTAGACCTTCCACTTGGCCATGGCAAGAGGAGAAAGCCCAGGTGATCAAGGCAGCATTGCCTGAGGCCTGAGGCTCTCAGTATGTAGCATCTCTGACATGCTGCACCTTCGTCTTCGAATTGGCTTTAGCCTGGCATTTGTCAAACCTGATACCCCTTAGGGAAGACTGAGCCCAGGATACTGGCTCATAGGCATTGCTGAGGCTGCCCAGAGTTCAGCATTAAAGAAAGCATGGAATATCCTGTTCTGCCTGGTTGCTGGGGGCCCAGTTCCATCTTGGAGTTTTGATTTTTTGGAGGGTTTGAGCCATTCACTTCTGAGCCAAGACCTTGGCGATAGATAGTTCAGCCACAGGCACAGCCCACATGCATGATAGAGCTGGGTGACTTTGTGAGTGACAGCCATTGCTGATAACTGGTCCTGCTGACAGAGGTGACAAGTGGAATTAGAAGCAAAGGAGCCAGTGCATAATAGGGTCTGTGGGACATAGCCAGGCAGGGTAACCTCGAGGAACTGGGTGTCGGGAGGAAAGGAGACTGAGCCTGGAGCCTAGGCCAGACCTTTGCCTTAGCTGTCCCTTCCCCCACAAACTTGAGGACACAAGCCCTCCTTGTGTTCTCCATCTGTACTCTCCCCTCAGAATTTCTTGGCAAGCAGAAGTGTTTTCTATCAAGTGACATGTGCCCTGGCACGAGATTGAATTGGTGAGAACCTCCCAGAGGTACTTCTGTGCCCTTCAGGAGGCCATCCTCAGTCCCTCTGACCAGTCCTGATTCTAGCTTATTTCCTTCATCCTGCCCTACCTTCTGTTAGAATTAAGTCTTGGGGCGCCAGCGTGGCTCAGTCGGTTAAGTGTCCGACTCCTGATCTCAGCTCAAGTCATGATCTCACTCTTTGGGAGATCAAGCCCCAAGTTGGGCTCTGCATTGAAAGCACAGAACCTGCGTAGGATTCTCTCTCTCTCTTTCTCTCTCTCTCTCAAAATAAATAAACTTAAAAAAAAAAAGTAAGCCTCACTCATTCCTCCCAAACTCCTTACTGAGCTGGGAGCTCTCCATGATGTCATAGACTTCCCTCCCTAGTTAGGTCAAGTTGCAAAATAGCTACCACCCCGAGTACCACAGTGAACAGTCATTCCATCTCCTGGTCTCTCCTTTCTGCCCAGCTCTTTTCTAACTTGAATGTAGTGCCTTTCTCCTTGAGCGTCCTTGGCTTTGATTCATGATCTTATCAACTGAAGTCACATCAAAACTTCCTTTTGGAAACACAGAGATCCAAGGTTCCTGGAGTCAGTGGAGGTCTGAATCCACCCCACCCCCACAGATAGAGGAAGGGGAGAGACCCCTCATCAGAACAAAAGATGCACTTGGCTTTAGCTTAGTCAAGAAAGTGTGCCCTACATCACAAGGCTGGGAGGCCCAAAAGTTCGATCCAGGCAGTGGATAGGAAGACTGAGTTGGCATTGAGAGCTGAAAACAAGTGGCAGATGGTGCCGAGGAACATCCCGGGACTGAAGAAATGTGGTTCCCAGAAAGGGAAAAGGAAGGAGCTATTGGCAAAATCTTACTCAGCAACTGTGACAGCCTGGCCAAAGAAAGCTGCAGAATATGGCTGGGAGCACATTTGTGGTCTGGGGACACTGCTGGGCCGAGACACCCACTGTTCTGCACTTCTTCTTGTGCTCTTCACCACACCCAGAGTAAACAGCTCTGGAGGCCGGGCTGGATGGGTCAGGAAAAGCCAGGAATAGAGGAGATTAGAAAATGGTCCCCGAAACCTGAGAAATTGCTCTGTGGCCAGGCTTTTTTCTGGGTGATAAGTAGTAAGCATGGTCTCTTGGAGGTGTTGCCCCAGATTGAATCCAACCCCATAGGGCAGCCAGAGGGGCCTGGGGACCAAGAGACCTGGGGTTTGAATGGCCTAAGCCCTGCCTGGCCTTTGACCTCCCGCAGGTGCTGGAGGTTGTACGAGCCAACTATGATACACTCACACTGAAGCTGCAGGATGGCCTGGACCAGTATGAGCGCTATTCGGAGCAGCACAAGGAAGCTGCCTTCTTCAAGGAGCTGGTGAGTCTGCCGCACCTCCATCCCCGCCTGAGTCTCCTGAGGGCCCTTTCCCAGCCGGTGTGTTGTACCGCACAGGTGGGCATCCGAGGGAACAATCACAGTTTGCCAAAGGCTGATGAAATAAGACTTGAGGAGTCTGCTGGGATTGGGTGTGCGACTTGTCTCCTAAAGCAGTCCAGGACCAGGCAGCGAGAGAAGATACTCCCCAGGGTGCTGGTGCCAAGCGGGGAAGTGTGAGAGGCCTGAGGCGGCATTGCCCATCTCGCTCCTGCAGCCATGGAGACGGCCCTTGCACAGCTCCAGCTGGGCCTGGGGTTTGACGTGTGTTCCCAGTGGCAGCTCTGGCTCATTACTCCTTATCCTGTCCTCCAAGCAGCTAATGGTAGTCATTGATTCTTCTCCTCCTTATGCAATCACTTCTTCCTAAATTCCTACCTGGCTCCTGGTCCAAGTGCCCTCCCAATCCAGTTCTCCAGTCTTCACTCCTCTCCCCTACCCCCACTTTCCCATCACTCAGCTTCCTGCAGCCCCCACCCGTGGCCACCTGGAGCCAGTGAGCATTTGCTCTGCCTCCTCCTCCACCTCCCCGTCAGCCCTGCCACAGAACTGGGCTCTCCCCGTTGGTGGTCTCTCTCCTGCCCTCTGCTTAGAGCTGCTCTCAGAAAACCGGGGCCTGCCGGTGTCAGCCCTGCCGCTCCACCAGCCTGGCTGTACATGAATGCCGTGGCTGGGGGCTGAGACCAGAACACACTGTACCTGCTTCCCGTCGCCTCAGCCCTCCCACTGCTGGGGCAGAACTCACCTCAGCCCAGCTTTTACCTCCCCACACCAAATTTGTGCTGAAGGTGCTGGGTGGTAGATGATCTGTCTTATGCTAAACACAGCCCTACTCTGAACCGGACCTGAGATTCCTGAGATTTTGGGCTTCACCAGGGCAAGGGAGATCTGCTCTGGAAGTGAGTGAGTTGAAAGCAGGGAAGCCATTAATATAAAGAGATAGCAAGCAGAGTGGAGTATATTTATGGGGTCACATATACTTGTGGCAAGTCTTTAAGTTGCTGTGGGGGATTACTGGGAGCCTAGACTTCACAAAGAGAGTAAGTCATTGGAGAGAAAAAGGTTGTGGAGGAGTTAGGGGAGCTCTCTGCCTCTGACCCTTTGGTACTAGCCTCTACCTGACTCAGTTCTCCTTATATCTGTACCCCTGGCACCAGGGAGCGAAGAGGGTCTGGTTGGGCTTGGAGCTGATGAGCCAGAGCCGCCCGCTGTTGGCCCTTGCCTCTGCCTCCTACCTGATGGCTTCATTATGTTTCCCGTAGCTAAGCAGAAACTGAAGGAAAGCTCCCTGGTCTTTGGGCCCAGGACAGATACACATGCTTTTTCTCCTCCTTCCACCGCTTTGTCTCTCATACAGCATTCACTTCCATTTCCCATGAACAGCATTCCTTCCAGAGCGTGCTGGATTCCTCCTAGGACCCACTCAGAGTAGAGAGTTGGGCCCTTTGACCCCTTCTCCACAGTCCTTTCCCCACTGACACAGGCAACGCTTCCTGCAGGGCTCTCCATCTGTGGGGAGGGAGCGTGAGGGGAGCAGTGGGGACACAGCAGCGGTATGCCACAGACACCCCTTTGAAGCCAGGGAGCTTCTCTGTGGTATGGTATTCTCTGTGCCGGACTGGCAGTTAAGAAACCAGGGTCCTGCTTCCAAGCCTGGGACTCACAAGCTGTATGACCTGCTCCTGGTCCTTGGCCTCTGGGGATCGTCCTCCTGCCATCAGTGCCAGACGTCCTCCTGCCATCAGTGTCTCCAGGTGTTCTTTCCAAGCCAGGAAAGTGGATAAATACAGAGAGAGAGTGAGGAAATGAGAAATGCATTCTCTGGCCTCATTTTCTCCTCCTCTATCAGACCACTGACCAGACCAGTCCCCCTCTGCAAGGCTGAGGCAAGGACAGAGGCCTGCCCTCACCCTCCTTCCCTGCCGGTGCTCACTTCTCTTCAGGTGCCCTCCTGCTCTTCTCACATCTGTCTCTCAGCCCTGCTTTCTTCCACTTACCAGCTTATCATGGAACTATTTGCTCACTTGCCTGCAGGGATGATAGCTGTTAAGGGTTCATTTCCTGAGAGAAACTTCTAGCATTGCATCTTGGCCTTGTCCCTCGGGCACTGCCCTCTGTTGTTTGTAACCAAGTCTCTCCTTGTTTTCTCTCTGCCTGTGCCCTCTTACCTTCCCCCACCCTTTCCCAGGTTCGATCCATTAGCACCAACGTCAGGAGAAATCTGGCCTTCCACACACTCAGCCAGGAAGTCCTGCTCAAGGAGTTCTCCACTATCTCCTGAGGCCACGCGTATCTGAGCAGCTGCCGACTGCCCTTACCCACGCGAGGCTCCCGGGCTGGAGGGGGACTGCGGGGAGAGGGGCTGTCCCCTAGGCTGGAGAATAACACAGAGACCGAGTTCTCTTGGTGAAGGCCGTGCTTCAGTGGATCTGGACGGCAGTGGCCAGGAGGGGCAAACCAGGGGTACTCTTATTTGGGGAGGGTTTGGGTGGGCACAGGGAGAAGCCTTCAAGAATGTGGGGACTTCCAGCATGGGCTCCCTGGATACCCCTTCACATTTTCAACGGAGATTACAAGTTGTGGCTGCTGCCTGCCTTTCAGGGGCTGTTGGGGCAAGTCTTAGGGTGAGGCCAGCTTCCTGCGGGCTGTGGCTCTCTGAGGCGTCTGAAAACAGACCAACTCTCAGATGTAGGTGGAGCCAGCTCTGCTTTCTTTGGGCCCAGGGCTGAGCTGAGCTTGAAATCTGTGTCCCCTGCCCTTGGTGGCACGCTGTCCAGTCATGAGGACCCTTAGCTCAGCTCGAGGTAGGGTAGGAACGGAGGACCTTTTCTGCCTTCTCCATCTGGGAGACCAGTGCCCTGCTGTCCAGCCACCACTTTCTGGATTTGATTCTTGGCACCAGGAGTGCCTGTTAGCTTTCCCCTGCCTTCCAACCCATTGACTCATCAGCACCATAGGGTCACAACCTGAGCTTTTCATTTTCAACCTGGTTTAAACTGTCTTTAGGGTGTGTGTGTGAAATAAACATTGACAGGTTTTCTGGAGCCCTCAGGTGCCTACTTTGCTGGTTCCCTTTCCAGCAGCCTCCCCACCTCCCCAGTCACCTTCTCCTCTGGAAGCCTCTCCTGCCTCTGCTGAGCTCCCCTCTACGTGTTCCACCCCCTCACCCGGCTGTTGTTTACATCCAGCCTGCCTAAGAATTTCCTCTAGGGAGGAATCTGTTCCTGCTGTGGTCTGGTGCCTGGAAGGGAGAGAGCTGCTGGGAGGCAGGGTGCCCTCCATCTGAAAGGGGCCAGGTGAGCATCCTGGAGAGGCCATTCTGTCTACCCGTGTTCTGGCTGGAGCCACAGGCAAGTCTCCTGGCCATTGGGAAGTTGGCCCATGGTTCCTCCTCTGGACAGGCCCCATGGGACTACTGTAGGCTTTCCCTACCCCACAGCTGCCTTCCAAGTAGCTGCTGGTCCGTGATGCACCACCCCTCTCCACCCCCCTTCTAAAGCACTTTCTAAAGCCCTCAGGCTGGCGGGGAACAGGCAGCATAAGAAGACTCTGGGAGTAAGTGCATGGACCCAGCAGTGAGAGCAGGGCTGGGACCTCCCTGGCTGCTGTTCCGCTTAGCTTCCAGGCTCTGCAGGACACTTGCCTTCCCTGGGCACCAGAGTTCCGGCTCCAGCGCTGAGCAGATATGCACTAGTTCCAGAGGACCCACCAGCATGGGTAGCTCAGCCTGGGGCAGTTAGTGTTCTCCACAGTGATAAACCCCGGAGGAGCTGGAGCTGGAAGCTGGTAGCAAGTTGAAGTTATTAAAAATGGATTTGTATGGGACAGTCTTTTTAGTGTCTTTTGTTTGTTTTTCTTCATCTCTGTTACTCAGAACTCATTTCCCAAAGACCCCTGCCTACCCTCACTCTCCTCCTAAGTCTCCCGGCCCTGGTAGAAGCCACTTAGGTTCAGACAGGTGCAGCCTCCCTTGCCTTCGCTGCCTGTGGATTCCTTGCCTATGAAGTGAACAAGGCCATGAAGCTGTAGCGAAGGCCTCCTTGCCTTCCATTGTAAAGGCCCATCTCTTAGCCCATTTGCATATATACCTGTTCTAAGAACTCCAAAGCGGAGTCCCATCGTTTCCTAGCATTCGACCATAAAAGGAGCTGCCCATGCTCTGTCCACATCCCAGCGGCTATGCTGTGTCTGTGAGGGACTCTCCGGAGCCAGGGGAGAGCTAGAAGCAGGGCATTGCTCCCAAAGACAATCCTTTTAGCTGCTTGTCCCCCTCTCACTCCTGAACTTCCACAATTCCTGCTGAGTTAATTGAATCAAGTGCTTGGAAATTAAATCTGGTTGAAGACATTAAATGTGCTGGGGTCACTTTAGCTGAAGCTGTCTCTTTCAGGAGGTCATTCCTCCAGAGGAGCCATTGGGCAGAGGGGAGGACACACGGAACACTACCACCACGCCACCCAGGCCCACCAGACACTGTCTCCCCCTTCCTTCTGGTGGGTTGGGGGCTCTTGGGCTAGGAGGCCAGTAAAGAGCCCAGAGAAGGTCAAAGAGGCTTAGTCACTCAGTAGCTGTTTCTGGGAGCTGGAGGCAGCCCAGCTCTGTGATGGCTGCCGGCTTCAGGAAAGGAGCTAATCCTGATAACAAAGGCATTTCTTACCCACTCTGTATCCTCACCAGTATCCACACTCAGTCACTTCATATCTGCAAAACAAAAGGAATCTAGAACAGGGCAGTTGACCAGAGAAGGGCCGCAAAGTTGAAAAGGAAAAAAAAGGAACAAAAGAACAAGAGAAGTCTTGGGAAAGTCTTGTTTTCCTGTTCTTCTCAGTGGTCCAATGGAGGTCATTAGATCGCTGAGAAGGCACCCTCACAGTGAAGGGGGCCCGGGAGATAGGGTCCTGCAGTGGGGTGAGGGTTGGGGTCTTTATACGAGAGACCCTTGTCCTGAGATGAGCCTGATAGAGGCTAGGTTGACCTTTGCTCTTCATCCCTAACCCCCTCTGAGCAAGGTGGGCACTGGTAGGGGGCCACAGAGACCCACACTTGGGAGGAGAACCACATAGAAAATAGGGGCTGACGTGGAGACTGACCGGACAGAGCACTTACCGACCTACCCTGGCCCATGCTGATGGTGGGGGAAGGAGTGCCTGAAGGTTTGGGAGCAGGGGATTCCTCACCGTGGGGCCTTACGGGCCCTGCTCCCTCCTCCACCATCAGGAACCACAGCTCCAGGTTTAGGGGGTAGTGTTGCTGTAGAACTAGTCTCCCTCCCCGCACTTCCCAGCTCACCCTTTCACCGGGATCCTCCCCCAAGCTGCTAAGAGGAGGGGGCGGGGGTAGGGGGAGCCAATCCCGGCAGCGCCAAAGGGGGGAGGCGGCGGTGACAGCCGCGGGGAGGGGGCGGGAGGAGAGAGGCGGCTTGGCTCCAGCTCCGTGCTTAGCTCCGCTCTGCCTCCGGCTCTGCGCTCACCTACTGCCCAAGCCTCCCGCTCCTGCCCCAGGACTCCAGGCGGGACCCCAGGCGGGACCCCAGCCCATTCCAGACTCAGCCCCAGCCCAGACAGCGTGCAACGCCGCCAGGGGGCGCCGTGTGAGCACCCTATCTTGGCTACCCGGCGCCCCCTCCCACGGCCCAGGCGGGACGGGACGGGGGCGCCGGGGGCCATGCGGGGCCAGGGCCGCAAGGAGAGTTTGTCCGATTCCCGAGACCTGGATGGATCCTATGACCAGCTCACAGGTGAGTCAGGGACTCAGAGGTCGTGGGAGGGAGGGTAGAGTCCATCCCCCCCGCCCCCCCACCCTTAAGCCTCTCTGACCCTGGCCAGGCCCTTACTCACACTCTGCCCCATTCCCAGGCACCCTCCTGTTCTGGGCAGCAGGACACCGAGGGTTCAAAGCCTTGGGTCCCCTGGGGGGGACTAGCAGGCAGGTGGGGAGAGGCAGCAGGTGTGGGCGTGTGTGACACAAAGCTAGGAGAGTGTCTGGAGTGGGAGGTGTTACGTGCGTGAGCGCCTGTCATTCTTTGTGTGTGTCTCTGTGTGTATATGTGTGTGCCTGCGAGCACGGTCTCCCTGGTGCCATGTGCCCTAGGCTCGGTGACAGGGTGAGTGTGATTTTGTTGGCTGTGCGATTGTATGATCTTATCAGATGTTTGAGCGACATTGTGTCGGAAGCTTACAAATGTAGTTGTTTTGACCATGTGTCTCTGTTCTGTGTGCAATTCTGTGCTTGGAGTGTGTGCTTCCGTATGAAGTGGCTTGTGACTATCAGAATGGTCAGGACTTCACTTTATGGTGGTAGGTCTCCTGTGACACTTTATGACTCTGAAACTACTGGTGCGAGCATTTGTTAAAGTAGGTTGTATTGTGTTTTGTGATTGTGAGACTATGCAGATTATATTTGGCCTTTCATGCTGATTGTGGACTTTCAAGTGGTAATGTCTGCAATGGGATTCTGTGTCTGTGATGTGTCTTACCCTTGCTGCCTCTCTGGCTTCCTGGTGCAGAAGGACGCCTTTACTGCCCACCACTTTCCCCCCACTTTTTTTCACAAACAGACCAGGTGGACCCAAGGAGGGACTCCACTGTCCAGCTGCCCAGCCTGGCTCCCGGAAACATCACCTGGCCCTTGTGGGGAGGATTTGGCTAGTGTTTGGTCACTGCCCTGCCCCCTGCAAAAGTACTCAGATCATTCTTTCAATTGAAGCTCCTTTAACCCTCAACCGCCCTCCCAGAAAGAACTTCACCCAATCCTGAAGGAAAACACCCTCCCTTGCTTCCCCTCCAGACCCAAAGTTAGAAGCTCTTGGCCTGGAAGGTGCTGTATGCTCCCCCCCCCCCCCCCCCCCCCCCCGCCAAACCAGTTTGCTGTCCAGGCATGCTCTCTCTCCCACAGTGAGGAGTACATCTGTGCCCGCACATATTCCTGGGTTTGGTAGGCAGACCCACGTGTTTGTGTGGGTGACTGTGTCACCTTGTGTACATTTCCATGTGTGTGTGTTTTCTGTCTCATTGTGCAGCCTGCCCAGGAACTCCAACAGTGAATGGGAGGAGGGAGGCAGTCTCGTGTAGGAGTGTAGGAGACAGGCTGGGGAGGTGGAGGGAGTCCATGATCCTTGTCTGTCCAGAGGGGAGTGAGGTTAAGACTTGGGGATGGGGAAGAGAACTAGGATCTAATGCCTTGAAAAAGTGTCTCCCCTACTCATTGACCCTGGGGAATTCCTAGTGCCTATGCGAGACTCCCAGAAGGGAGAGCCCTTCCTCTCAAGTAGGCCCCAGGTGAGCCCTAGATGTGGCTCAGACTGGGATGGAATCCAGAGGTCCAGCTCTGCTTTGAACTGTGTTCTCACCAACTCAGGATCCTTGCTAGTAGTAAGGCCCCAGGGCGCTCATTAGCACCACGTTAGTCAGTGTTTTTGCTTCCTGCTTTAATTGATTCTCCTCTTTAGTGGAATCGTCCCCTCCCCATTTGCCTATTTAAATCAGAGACTGAGTGAAGGTGGGGGGGAAGCACTTGCATTACAAGGTGCAGGAATGGGCTTTCTATTACTTTTACTCTCTGGGTCTTACTTTTCTCATCTCTAAAATGGAGAATACTACTCCCTGCCTGCCTATCTCCCAAGGGAAACAGGTCAAATGTTGACATGCATCAAGAATGATGTTCTTCAGCAGCAGTAATCTCGATCTAGATAGCTCCACACAGGACTTGGAAAGTACAAATAGCACTACCAGGAGCTCTCCTTTCGAAAGAGGGCTTGGCTTACAGCAGGAGACAAATGAGGCTGGGACGCCCCCTGATAAAGCGCTGGGTGCTTTGAAAGCGAGCTGAAGCCTGAGGGGAAGTCGTTGTCCGTGGTGCTGAAGAGCGGCGGGGGGCGGAGGTACCGCCGGGCCATCCTTGTGCCCAAAGTTCCTTCCCTGTGCAGGAAGGATTCCTGGGATGGACGTGAGGGTAGTCTTTGGCTCCCATCCTTCTGGGCCATCAGGCTGACAGAGGGGGAGTCTTTAAGTCATACCTCAGGGCATCCTGGGTACCCCCGATCACTTTTCTTCCCTACTACCCCGGACTCAAAAGCTAGGGAAGATTTTTGGAGGTAGGGGGAGAATTTGAGCCCCAAGCCGGCTCAGATCTACCCTCTGTGGTCTTCGAAGCCTGGCAGGGCTGTCTGGAAGTGCAGCGTGGTGTAAAAAGGCAGCAATCAGTGGCAGTCCTGTCCAAGCTGGAGGCAAAGAAAGGACTGGGGACAAGGAGGAGAGAGTTGGGATCTGGCTGGCCAAGGCCTGAACTCGAGTCCTTTTGGTCATAAATATCTTTCCCCAGTCTAGGGCGCCCTCGTGTGGTCTTAGAGCAGTCATGCTTGCGTAGCTGATTTTGAAAGGGGATGTCGCCGCCAAATCAAGTGCCAAAATGTGCATGGAGTTCGAACGTGACTTTTGTTTCATAAATGTAGGCTTTTCAGCCAAAAAGACACGATCCCAGTCGGAGGAGTGGAACTATGTCTCTCCATAGGCTGTCCCGGCGATTTGAAGGCGTCAGTGGGTCCTGGAAGGATTTACTTTGGGTACAGCCCGATAGAGATGAGTCCTGGAAAGGGTCAGGGCTGAGACTGAGGGGAGGGGAGTTTCTCCTTCATGCATGTGGCTGGCAATCAACATATGATGGTAGACTCTGTGAACCCACTGGAGCAAGACAAAGGGACACAAAACAGAAAGTTATGAGAGAAAGGGACTCGGAACTGCCTCTTCTTTGCCACCCCAATATGTGGTCCAGTTCCTCCTCCTTCTTCCAGCTCTCTCTCCCATTGGTCCAGGAAGTATGGAAGGGTGGGAAGTTGCCATGACAACCATGCAATTTTTTTTTTTTTTTTACCCCTCCTCCCCCTTTGCTTCTCAGTGCCAAATTAGGAGGAGGTGTGCGACAGGCAAAGAGAAGAGAAGAAAGGTTGGAGAGAGGCAGTAAAGAATCAGGTTCATTACCGTCTCCCCCAGCTCCTTTTTTCAAAACCCGTGGGAGCCTCCCCTCCCCACCAGAAATTCAGAAAACATTCCGGGAGAAGGCTGTGAGAAGAGTCCTCCCATTCCTCCCCCTTCCCCCCCACCCCGCCCCGCCCAGTCTAGGAACTTTGAGGACGGATGCTTCAGATGGTAGGCATAGGGTGAGTTTCCCTCCTGCAGCCCGGAGGAGACAGGAAGCAGAAGACTCTCGATGAGAGATTCTGGTCCTGCGGGTCCCGCCCTCCCGCGCCGCCCACGCAGGGCCCACTCCGTTGGGGGCGGAGACCTGACTGCCCCGGGCCTTGGGGGGAGGAGCTTGGTCAGTGCACTCTCAGCCGAACCATGAACCGATGCCCCCGCAGGTGCCGGAGCCCGTTGGGGCAGGCAGCGCGATCCCTCTATCAGCTAGTGACTGGGTCGCTGTCGCCAGGTATGAGGAAGGGAGGAAGGGGCTGGACCCTTCAAAACAAAGTGAGTGAAGTGGGGTAAGAGCCTTACAGAGGTGGGGAAGGGAAGGGCCCTTCATAGAGATGGAGGGAGCTGGATTCCCTCAATGGAAAGCGTTTAAAGGGCAAGATCCCTGACAGAGTGGAGCTAAGGATAGAGTCTCTTATAGAGAAGGTGGGAGATAGGGGTCCTCAAAGAGGAAAAGATAGGGGATATCATGGTACTTCACGATGGTGGAGGATGAGGCAGGACCTCTCACTGAGGGCAAAGGAGCGGGCCTCAAGCAGGTGGATGTAATGAACAAGGTCCCTCCAAGGGATAAAAGGAGGAAACTTGCAGCAGAGAAGGGAAAGGGCACAGCCCTTATTGAATTTCTTCATTTAATGGGATCTTAAAATGACTGGGGTCAGTGTCCAGAAGGAAAAAATCCCCAGTTGGGACTGGACCAACATGAACTCAGCTAGTGAGTTTGTGAACGATGGGATGAACAGACTTGTGTGACATAAGGATTGTACCGTTTTGTCTATCTCTGGGAGTCTGTATGAATGGGGTTATACATCACTGGGTTGTGATCACTGGGACTGTGCATGCTTGGGGTTGCATATCTCTGGGATTCTGTGACACTGAAATTGCACGTGCCTGGGGTTCTATGCTTTAGAGTTGGGTTGGGGATTCCTGAGTCACACTAAGTTAGTCGTGTAGCCTTCACAAGCTTGTACCTTGGTGTGGGGTGTGTGGGATTTATGACATGTGGAATATGGATATCATATCATGGCAGTGCTGAGATTTAAGCACACCTCCACTTGAATTTCCTTAACGCTGCCTGGGCAAGGCCCACAGAACCTTGCATCACCTCACCACCTGGCCTGGAGAAACCAAAACAGCCTCGCCCCAGGCATTCTGGGATCTGTAGTTCTCTTGCTCTCTCCGTGGTATCCTTTTGAGCCCCTGGAGCATAGGCTGCCCTCTCTTTGCCATGTGTTCCCCAGAAGGTGGGGAGATGGGGCTGAGCCACAGTCATTCTTGGAAGTCTCTTGGGGAGCATGCATCCCTCAAGCCCCCTTCTTGGACCTGTCTCCAGTGACAGATGGCTGGAGCCCGGCAGGACCAGCTCTCAATCATAGCAGGCATGACTTCCAAGCCCCAAAATAGCCCCAAGGTCTAGGGAAGTCATTAATCACCTAGTGCAGCTGGGGGCTGCTGTGTCTTCTGGCCTTGCTGGGGATGGAGTGGGGCTGGGGGACTGAGAGAAGAGCTCTGCGGTCTTCATTGGCTGGGGTCTTCACTGGGGGATAAT